AAGGAGATAAAGAAGTAGAGTTCAGAGAGAGCCTTTTTGTTGGGGATGCCAGAGTATTTGCCAAAGGGCATGTAAATAGAGTGGCCATTTGATGAGGAGCAATGCCTGGAGTCCTGGTATCGTGCTATAGGATAAGCTCCGTACTGTTAACTGTGAGATTGGCAGTTCAAACCCACCAGCTGCTCCTGGAATGCCTTATTAAGGGTCGCTATGAGTCGGAACCGTCTTGATGGCACTTAACAACAGCAACAATGCCTTGAACAGGGAAGCAAGGGTGGTATCATCCACCCAATATAAGTAAGCTGTCTATGGGGTGCATGGTGGCTCCCTAGGAGACGCACTGGACTGCAAGCCGCAAGGTTGGCAGTTCAAGTCCACCAGCCACTTCACAGGAGAAAGATGAGGCTTTCTGCTCCCACGAAGATTTTTTTAAATGTTTCAGAAACTATGCAGGGTGTCTATGGAATTGTGAACTTGTTATTTTTGTGCAAATGTTTTCCAGCTTGCTGCTTGTCATTCAATTTATGTTTGGCCAACAGTGGTAGAGTTCTGTCCTTCCACGAGGGAGACCTGAGCTGGATTCCTGGTCCGTGTGCCTCAGACACAGCCACCGTGCGCCTGTCAGTGGAGGCTTGTGTGCTGCTGAACAGGTTTCAGGGGGAAGTTTCCCATCTAAGAGTAGGAAGAAAGGCCTGGCAATGTCCTTGCTCAGATCAGCTGGTAACAGCCCTGTGGGTATGAATTCTGATCCACAAGGGATCGTGGTGATGGTACGGGGGAAGGCAGCATTTCATTCCAGAGTGTCAGGGGCAGTTCGAGGACAGCTGATCACAAATAGGTTTGGTGAGGCTGGCTGACCACAGCCAGTTCTGTGATTCTTTGGGTGTTTTCTCACATCAAGTTCAGGCACAGTTTGGGTAAACCCAGTGATTAATTTCTCACTCAGAGAAACTCCAGGCAAATTCTTACAAGTTTTCCACATACTACGTTTATCACCTTTGCCTACTACCTAAAGAAACCGGCTTTAATAATTCAGATGAATTAAAAGTCAAATGTGGAAATCTTGCCATTAAAAAGATAGAGGAACGTGTGTTTGGACTTATGATGTCTCCCAGCAGGAAGTTCTATTTTATCTAAAAGCGTGGGAGGAATGCACAAAACTCAACCAAGCACACACAACTGGACAAGCTTTCTAATCATTAGACAAGAAGTGAAGTGTATGCATACTACAGCATGGAAAGTTAGGAGCAGTAAATACACTTAGTACAGACTCATAACCTTAATCCACAAAGATCAATAACTAAGGCACAAAGATGCTAATAGATAAAGGATCAAAAGGAGGTGAGTCCAATATTAAAACAACCATTGAGTGTGCACATGCAATGATTCTATCGAATAGACCGACTCTAGAAGAAGAATCCTGGTGTGGCACTGTGGGTTAATGCACTGGATTGCAATGTTGGTTTAAACTGCAAGATCAGTGGTTCAAGCTTAGCAGCCACTCCTCAAAAAACCCTACCCACGGTCTCTGTGGGTCAGAACCGACTCACCAGCACTTAACAACAACAACAACAACAGTGGTTCAAGCTCACCAGCCACTCCTCGGGAAACCGTATCCGAGTTCGCTATGGGTCCTTAACTCGACGGCACTTAACAACAACAATAGAAGAATTGGTGTGTTTGAATTATGTGTTGGACAAGAATATCCAAAGTACCATGGACCTGCAGGAAGAACAAACAGATCTGTCGTGGGAAACAAGCAGCCAGAATGCTTCGTAGAAACAAGAATGGCGAGACTTCATCTCATGCACTTGGGACAAGTTATCAGGAGGGACCAGTCCCTGGAGGTGGACATCACGCTTGGTAAAGTGGAGGGTCTGCGAGAACGATGACCCTACAGTGAGATGGAGTCACACAGTGACAACAATGAGCTCGGACATAACAGTAGTTGTGAGGCTGGTACAGGGCCAAGCAGTGTTTCCTTGTGTTGTGCACAGGGTCGCTATGAGTCAGAACAGACTCGACAACATGTGACCAGGCACCCTGAGAGCAACAGCAAGTTGTTGTTGTTGTTGTCAGGTGCCATCGAGTCGGAACCGACTCATAGCGACCCCATGCACAGCAGAACAAAACAATGTCCG